TTTTTTTTATGGCATAAGCCGGTAAACGAGCAGACGGATCACCTGATGGTAAGCAATCGGCGTCGCCCATGGACACCTGGAACACCAGAGGCGTTACAAGTGCGTTACCGGCCTTTTGGGGAATTAGGAGATTGAGGATCGTTGGGGATTCAGGGATTGGGAAGATTGGGGAAGGGGAGGGTAATTGGGCCTCCGGTAACCTCACTCACACGACGAAACACAACGCAAGCGTTGCTTCACGCCGGTTTTCTGTGAGGCCGTGGTACCACTCCGGTCGAGCCGGCCCATACGTGCCGAAGCATGGCTCTCCCACACTTAAAACTACATATTAGATCAAGCCGGAAGAAAATATAAAAAAGAACATTCTCCTCTTTTTAAAGCCTACTAAAAATAAATTCTTTAAAGTACAATTCATACCAATTATACCAATTCATACCAATTATAAGTAGCTTACCTGCATAGCATACAACTTGTTGGTCCCAGCCAGTTGCATCAACACATCTTGCTCAAAAGACATGTATCCAGGATGAGGACTAGTTTGACCATTACCACTTGAAGAAAAAATAATTCATTTAGTATTACGGTTATCTCTTGCATCTTAGGTATGGTTTATACTCATAACTTAAAAAAATGTTATGTTAAGACTCATTTTTCTATACCTTCGGTTACATTGTTCAAATTTTACCATAAATCCCTATTTTTTTTTCAAAATGAAATGTAGCCTATGTCAAATTGGAAGAATGTAGCATTCTATTGGTGAAAAAATTTTTTAAATCGGCCCTGTACTTTTTGAGCCTATTCATTACAAACATACAAAAATAGGTACAAATCTTTCCTCTTTATAATATTATTAGTATAGATATAATCAATAATGTTAAGTACCTGTAAAACCCATCCTGTTTCTTCTGAAACGAGTCAGCCATAGTGTGGAATACTTGCAAGGAACACACATACACTCCGCAGTTGATGAGTGTCGACACGTAGCTGTTTGGTTTCTCCACATAATGGGTCACTGACTTCGTGGAGCCTTCTCTCACCATGCAGCCGTAGTGGACTGACTGCTGACGAGTCGCTTCTGTACCCATTATTGTGACCTGCAATGAAGATATTTAAGATTTATTAACTACTAGCTGCTAATTATGACTTCACGCTTAGGTAGAATATGATTCCTGTTTTTATCCCATGGGACTATTTAATCGGGATAAAAAGTACCCTTTTACCTAAGTTGGCATATTTCATCAATTCATATTTCATCAAATTGCGTTCAGTAGTTTCAGTGTGATTGATGGACAAACATGCAAACAAAGAAAGTTTCAGATTTATAATATTAGTGTGATAAACTGTTTCATTATGAAAAGCCAAATGGATTTTCATAATGAAACAGTTTATCACATTAATGAGGGTAACTTCATATTCTTTAAGGAAGGAAAAAATAAATATTTCTTGGGAAATTCCAGCGGTAAATGAGAAGAATCAATATTTTTATTCACATTGTTGACAGAAGCAAGTTTGTATATAGTTAACACAATATTTTTGTATTGGATAGGAATCTTGAAAATAGCCATCAGACCACTATACTTGCCAAGTAGTTAATAACTATAAAGATTCAAAATCAAAAAAACTCCATTGTACTCATTTCAAAGTAGTTACTTAGATAAATCTCTAATAAATCGATAATTATTAATTATAGGCTACATCATCAGTTACCATCAGCAGCTGTAGCCAAATGCCATTTAGCGCTTGTCTACATCTAGAATAGAAAACTAAATTATATGGAATTGACTTGACGTTAATTTTGACACTTGTCAGTGTCATCCCCATGCATTTAGTTTCCTACTCTCTCTGTAGACAAGCGCTAAAGTGGCGTTTGGCTAAAGGCACAGGTGAGATAGTGGCAATAAAAAAAATTACAAAGATATCTTACCAAAGCATTCGCCTTTTCTGCATGGAAATGCCACAACTCTTTAAGAGGAAAGTCAGCACAAACATCTCCATTAAGTAGGAAGAACGCTGACGGATTGCCCGCTCTGACCTGATCTCTGAAGTGATACAGCCCTCCACCAGTGCCCAGAGGAGTGAACTCTTGAAGGTACCTGAAAATTTTCGATCAAATAGATTATTAAACTTCAAATGAGTAAAGAATAAGCTTAGTTAAGTTCTTTATGAAAAGCAGGCTACACCATCAGTGATTGCATGAGGTATGTGACCACTGGTACTAAGATAATTGTTCTCTTAATTTTTTTTTTTAATATTGAAATTCTATATTTAAAATGATTCTAGAAATGCATTTTGTTTAGTATCTATGCTCTTAATCTGACAAAACTGACCATAAATGATTAGTTGTTTTTTTTATTTTTATTGTTGGCTATATTTCAATAGAATACTGGATATTCTCCAAATGCGTGATCTCTTATTTGGCTACTATAATATAAATTTAAATTAGTATTCTTAACCCATATATCCCCATCGATGCGGAGTGTTAAAGTTTAAAACTCCTCCAGGGGATTCCCTAGTAGTGGTTGCCAAATGCACCAGAATTATGCTGGACGATAGAATATTAGAGATGGCAAGATCCATTTCTGATTCTGGATCAGACGGCGAAGTTTTTGGAGATTGGCATACTCCGACGTTTCGCTGGACAAATGGCGTCCCTGGTTGCGGAAAAACGACATGGATAGTAGATCAATTTGAAGCGGGCAAAGATCTAATTGTCACCACGACAACCGAAGCAGCAAATGACCTCAGAGGCAAACTATCCTGCCGAATCGGAGGACTCGTCAAATCTAGGGTTCGAACAATGGCGTCCATCCTAGTAAACGGCTTGGGGGAGCGAGAGAGCTGCCATCGCCTAATGGTAGATGAGGCTCTCATGAACCACTTTGGAGCCGTTGTGATGGCCGCCCGAATAACTCGAGCCAAGGAAGTCCTTCTAATTGGTGACATAAATCAGCTTCCGTTTATAGATCGTGATAACCTCTTCCCTCTACTCTACAGCCGCCCTACATATATCACGCCCATAAGCCAGGAATTGATGTGTACCCACAGAAATCCAATGGATGTGGCGTATGCCCTCAGCACAGTTTACAGTGGCATATATTCGTCCAGGTCGTTCGTGAGATCCCTCGAGATAAAAAGGTTCTCGGGGGCGATGATTCCAAAGTCACTCCCCGACACTTTATACCTGGTACACACTCAGGCAGAGAAGGAATCCCTTAAGAACCAGGGATACGGGTCGACCGTGGGATCACGCGTGCTCACGATACACGAGGCACAGGGACTTTCGTGTGCGAATGTGATTGTTGTCAACACAGCAACAAAGAAACATCAAATACATGACAGCGTACCACACGCGGTAGTAGCAATATCGCGTCACACGCATGGTTGCATCTATTACACAGACAACAGTGAAGACGCGATAAGCAAACTAATCAGGAAGGCGGCTGATGAGGGTGAGCAAGGTATTAAGGACTACAACCTGAAAATGGCCATCAAACACAGGGACGCGGCAGTCGTGGGTGCTCTCTTGGGCGGGGAGTGTTGCTTGTGATGGAACGAATGCAACATGAGGAAATGTGTGTGCAGAAACATGTAGAAATAGAATATGACCAATTGAATTTTGGACTATTGTACGCTTTATTGGAATCGGCCCATGTGGCAAGGGTTGAGGCGTCATGCACACATAAATGTCCTACAGTCGGTGGCGCTGTGTGTTGGGTTGTTCCGTTCCCAATAAAAAGGTTGACCGGACCAATTGCTGACACACACGTCATACTCGTGAACGGGTGCCTTCTGCTGGGTCGGTCGGCTCTCCCATCGTGTTGGTGGGCTGGTTTCATAAAGCCTTTGAAATAGAAATAAATAAATAGTGCCTAATTATTATGTAACCTATACTTTTGCTAATAATTATAGATGTAGTTAATTGTAGTATGTAACTAGGTTCCCTCTTTACTTTATAAATATTGACTAGATGTATTATAATTAAAAAACTGTATGACAAGGGCACGGACCTAGAGTCCGTGGAGAAATAATCTTTAATATTATGAAAAAAAAAAAAAAAAACCCATATATCCCCAAGCGGTCACCGGTGACGGCTCTCCACTAACTACATTATAGACCTTATTTCCAATGTTTAGAGACTACTTTTGTATGAATACATTTAGGGGATGATTTTCAACAATTTTCAATGGGTTAAACACAAACCTGATAATAACATGATATTCCTTCTGCATGTCATTGACAAACTGTGCCATAGTGTTGGTCGTGTATGACCCAATGATTAGGATCTCCTTGCATTCCTCCAACTTCACACATGCTTCTATATGATGCTGGATCAGAGGGAAGCCGGCTATTGGGAACAGGGGCTTTGGAGTGTCTAGAGAGAGGGGACGGAAGCGAGTTCCTGGAAAATAAGAGATTTTTTTTTAGGTTAAATGCTCAAAGCATAGCATCACGAAGCCTTTAGTCCCTAAGGGGTAGGCAGAGGTGCACATTACGCCACTTAATGCCACTATACAATGTAACACCCACTTTTCACTATTTATGTTATGAGTCCCATTTAATAGGGGGTGAGCCTATTGCCTTATACCGGGCACATTTCGAGACTCCATGCTACTACTGAGATTTTTTTTAAACCCAGTAATACTTTGCCTGACCCGGAAATCAAACCCGAGACTCCTTGCCCGGCAGTCATACTTGCGACCACTCGGCCAACGAGGCAATCATTTATTTTTCAGTTTTTTTAATTTATATTTGTATTGGTGTTGGTTTTGTGTCGGGTTAAATGAGGGGTCATTGGAAATGAATTAATATATTTGTGGCTTACATGGCTAACTACTTTGTAAATGGTTTTCTGTTTTTGATAAGACTGCCGCACTATAAATAAATTTAATGAATAAATGTCTACAATCTAAGACTATCTAATCATTGTAGGTAAGTATGTATCAATCTAGATCAAAACGAAGTCACATCGGTATAATATAAACTGATACCATCAATGCCACATATATATGTACAGAATAAACACGACTATTATTACTATACAATATATTTTATTTACATAACCTTCAAGCACAGAAAAGTCGTTTTCTAAAGACAAAATACTGCTCTAATTAACTTCACAGCGCTTCTACATGAACATAAGTAGTTTATATATATAATTCGATTAGTACCAACATGTTTTTATGTGTATTATTAATATTAATTGATAAGAAATGCCGGTGACGTCGACGCGAATCAAACTTTTACCTTTTTGCGGCCCTCCAATTAGAATTACGGCTTTCAACATTGTGAATACGTTTAGTTTTTCAAAAATCAATATTAGGTAGCACTGTATGCGTCTTTTAAATTGTTTATTACGCTTTAACAATAGAAAAACAAATATTTGATACTGGCGTACACAAAAACACGTCAGTGTTTAACAAAGTCAAGGAAACTGAAATGTCAAAACGATTTGACAGTGACAGTAATCAATGATAACTTTTTAATGCTGGATAACAATATCCAGCATTAAAAAGCCACAAGGCTTTTTAGCTATTTTATGAAACATTGTTTACTTTAGTAAATCAATTATAATTATTTTTATAATATTAGGGTAGTATTGACATTTAATTATTGTATAAAATCTGGGTTATGATGCGCTGGTGAAGGCACGTCATCGATTTCCTTTTTTTAACGTCCTTGCTTACCACCACTGAAATATCATCCCCTAAATTTGTTCGTACAAAAGTAGTCTCTAAACATCGAAAATAAGGTTTATAGTGGAGAGCGGTCACCGGTGACCGCTTGGGGATATGGGTGTCCAAATTGTCAATATTGCAAGTATAAGAGAAAACCTACGTAAAGTGGATGACCAGGGTCACAAAACTTGAAAGGAAAATTCTTAACTTTGAATGAAACTCGTGAGTTACAGAGTTTATAATTTTTTTGGGTAGGCGACAGTCTAGTGCTGGGCTTATAATGCGTGCTTCCCTGCGGTGGGACGCGGAATCGCGGATGATCGCGACTTACAAGCTTGAGGTTTTTATGAGAGCGCTTGCGCTGCTGCGCGGTTTCTGTAGAATGTGTAAGTAGTCCTTTAGGTCGTACGTCATCCACCCCCATATACATACCTATTTGTATCTTGTGTAAAGTCCGTATGTAAAGTGATAATTATCGTGAAAGTGTACCTATCTATCTGTATAAAATTTTTTCAAGTTTAGAACGGACCGTTTTTACGATTTTTTTAACCTTCGTGGGGACAGTTAGGATTGGAGGCTAAAGAGCCATTTAAGGCTACTGCTACTTTTATTCCTTTGACCACGTAGACGAAGGTGCTTGCTGAATACCAGATAATTATGTCGTTGCCTCTAACAAAACATTGCCAGCACGTTAGTAAGTATGGGAGAACCATGCTTCGTCATGAATGGGCCGGCTCGACCGGAGTGATACTATGGCCTCACAGAAAACCGACGTGAAACACCGCTTGGGTTGTGTTTCGTCATGTGAGTGAGGCTACCGGATGCCCAAATTACCTTTCCCCACTCCCCAATCTCCCACAATCCTCAAAAATCCTCATATTCCTTATCCCTAAAAGGCCGGGAACGCACTTGTAACACCACTGATGTTCCGGGTGTCCATGGGCGGTTTACCGACTTATCCCATAAAAAGACACACACACACCCACACACATGTTTATAGATCACGTACACATGTACATGTTGTACAATATTATGATGTATCAATACATCGTAGTTAAGAGCACTAGGCGTAAAATCAATAACGTACGGGTGCAGAATACCAAACGATATCGTATCGGAATGCGTAGCTATTGTATTTGAATATCTACTCGTATGATAAACGAAATCTCTCTGAGAGAGTGAGGCCCGATTTGCTGTATTTTACATACATGACTACCTACCATATTTATCAAGTAGTCGCAATCTTGACTACTGAGATAACGGTATCAGGTCCAATTAACGATTCTCAGGTATGTTTTTTTCTATTTAAATAGAACGTGGCTCCACATTAGGATTTTCTCCTGTATCGTGGGTGCGTTTACAAACATACAAGTTCACATACACATGACACCCGGACTCGGTACAACAATTCATGAATCACACAAGGAGTTGCTCCATGCGTTAATCCAACTCGCTATACGTTGCCCAGCCACCGCACCAACTGCGTAGTCATGTAAATGATAATATTACTCTTATATAATATAGCCTGGAACTGTAATCCATGTATGATAATAGGTTCTCTATTATAGGCATTCTCTATTATAAATAACCTATTAGTATTCATATGCATCTTCCAAAAAGTATGCAGCTACTTCTGCCTGCCCTTTTGAGGTACAATCTACAAAGTTGGCGGTTGATCATCATTAGGGGATATTGGCATACACTTGGCCCGAGCAAACAGCGTACAGCGGTAAACAGCGAGTTTGCCACAAGACCTTGTTTAAAAATTGTACTATTGTACACTTTGTCGATAGTACCTATGAAAATGATATGATTCTAATGATGTTAGGAGTTTGTTTAGAAACATATTACGAGAATAAGACAATAGAAGTTGTAGCCGCATTACACAACTACTTATATACCTACCTATCTCCTAAAATTGGTTCGTCTACACATTCACACACCATACAGTCCACATCTTGCTAATATCGCACGTCGTGTCGTTCAGAACCTGCTTGCGAGCAGCGAACCAAGGTACTTTTTTAAGGGGGGAAATATCATCGAATGACTTCTCCCGCCTGGGTGAGGCGGGAGGGAATGTCAGACTCTTACTGACTAAAAACCACCCCGTTCCTACTCCTTCCTGTACCTCGAGCCGGAGTCCCGGTAACACGTTAAGTTCTCCGCGGCAGCGAGCGAACCAAGGTCCATACCTTAAGTAAATATATTAGAAGTTGACTTTCAACCACTCATAAACAAACATCATTGTTTTGTATAATATACATACATACATACATAACTTCACGCCTGTCTCCCATGGGGGTAGGCAGAGACTAAGGAACGCCAATTACTACGATTCTTACATACCTCTTTCGCTTCATTAACAGTCATCAATCTTTTCATGCATGCTCGTCGGTTAAGGGAATATTTTGTATAATATATTTTAATTAATCAGATAAAATAATAACAACAAAATTCAATTCAGTTGCAGCACAGACAAATAACGTATTTTATTTAGAGTGTTTCTCTGAAACTGTTCTTTCTGCCTACGTTTTCGTGGAAACGTCCCGTACTCGTGCACAATGGATATTGATCGATGCATTCAAATGGATTTCAGGTACAAACAGCTTTCTAGGTGATGTATGAGAGATAGGAATTTGTGATATTTCTGAAAGCATGCCTCTTGCTCAAAAGGCAATCGAAAGATTGCTTTTTGTTGAGGTATAATTATTTACTACTGCCGGGTAAGAGGTATCGGGTTCGATTCCCCGGTCGGGCAAAGTATTACTGGATTTAAAAAAAAAATCTCTATACTAGCACGGAGTCTGGAATTATGCCCGGTATATAGCAATAGGCTCACCCCCTATTATATGGGATTCATAACATAAATAGTGAAAAGTGGGTGTTACATTGTATAGTGGCATAATGTGAACGCAGAAACGGCAGAACGCCGAACAGACCTGTATGAAAGTTGGCACAGATTCAGATCACCTACATTCTGGAATAACCCATTAGGCTACTTTTCATCTTAGTAACACGGGCTAGCTGCTAGCAGACTAGCCTAATTATTAATGTCGGCATTCATTGTGACGTCTTCCAAGTTGATGATGATGGTTAAGTGTAAAATTGTTACAGAATTTAGACCCTTATTAACCCTCTGAAAGGGTAACACAGTCGAAATTATTGTGTATCTAGGCGATAATTTGTATAATGAGTTCCGTCAATATTTTTCCTTGTTTCACTCTTTTTTTCCTCGAATTGAGAGTTTATTAATAGCAAGGTTATTTAATTAATATTTTAAGGTAAAAAATTGAATATTCATAAAAAAAAAACGTTTGAAAAAGAGATGTAAGTATTTGAGCCACTTCTGTTGGTTTGCGGAAGGTACGGTGTAATTTTGGCTGTAAACTCGAATCGAATTTTACGATATTTTTAGTCTGTCCTTATTAAAAATTCGAGGAGATTTGAATTATTAATTATAATATTTAATTTAACTAAAATGTCCTTGTACAATAATCACGGCGCAAGTCCCGCGGAGAGTCGACAACATCTATTTACTATTGCGCAATCCAGTCGGCCAGATATCACTTTCAGGATGCTGTTGTTGCTACCCCTCACCCTCAGCACTAGGGATGTGCATCTCTTACGCATTACTGTATAAAAGCAATATATATAAGATTAATATCATTACAGAACATACATCTTGCTCAAACATTGAGTCACCATGTTATTTCATTAATCATATTCCAAAAATGTAGTGCTAAGAACTAGGAGCACCCATTCAAATAAATAAAATTTCAATTTTTTTCTTTTTTTTTTAAACATTGCCCCACATTAAGATTTTCTTCTATGTCGTGTGTACGTTTACAAACATACAAGTTCACATACACATGACACCCAGACCCGGAACAACAATTTGTAGATCACAAAAAATTGCTCCGTACGGGAATCGAACCCGCGACACGTTGCATGGCAGCCGGTAGCCCAGCCACCGCACTAACCGTGTTGTCATGGATAATAAATAGATAAGTAGAAGTGATTGTTATGTTTTTCAGCTTACTTACGTAATTATTTGACGAGGAACTCAAAAATAGTCTCAGCAACCGCAGCAGCGCGTCGACAGATGCCGCGTCGCGGTTCGCGGAATGATCTTCATGAATATGAGCATCTAGCATGGCTTGAAACTAGTCGAGTTCCTCGTCAAATTATTACGTGAGTAAGCCGAAAAACAAAATATTTAATTTAGAATGTCTCACAAAAGTTATAATGTAAATAAAATAATAGATCTAGCTATAATACCCAAACATGTAAAAATCTAAACACAATTCTCAATGCACCGTTGTCCTATATATTGGTAGACTTTCGTGCACTGGAATGCATTTGATTAAATTGTGGCAACCGCAACATAGAAATGAAATTACAAACTTCTTCGTTCATACTTCGTGGAAAGAGCAAAGTCTATGTAGTCTAAGATCAGGGGACGGGCAAACTTTTTTATCAGTAGCTGCAATAAAAAAAGACTGTTGCGAGTAGTAGATGTGATTACAATATTATGTTATAATTAATCTACAACATTGTAGTTACTGAATAAAATTAAATTGGCAGATAGGTATAATCTAACACAATTTTTTGTCAAATAATATTTAGTTATTTAACGAGGGGCAGACCCGTGTCATCCCTAAGGCAAACTAGGGAAGTGCCTAGGGCTCCAGGTTTCGGGGGGGGAGGAATGCCGCGAGACGTGTGTTCCCATAGAGTGAAGGCG